TATTTATTTATGAATGCAGAACTAGGGTACAGGCCAGAGGTGCAGGGGCAGTGAAAGGATTCGCCAAAGACAGAGTGGGGAGCAGAACAGGCAGATCAACAAAGTACACTGCTGAGGGGAGCAGTGGGAGAGACAGGAGAGGTCTGCCACACTATGAGGGTCAGCTCCCTGGCCTGGGATTGAGCTCATGCGGAAGTGGCTGTGGCTAGTTTGCAGTGTTGCATCCTAACCTGTTGCACCACCAGGGAGGGCCCCAGGATTCGGTAATCTGACAGTTCAAACATGAAGGCATATTTTTAATTCAGGGAAGTCCAGGTTGCCTCAAGATAAATGCTTGCTAAAGTTCTGACCTTAACCTCAAATGCCAGTGGATGTTTTCTTTCAGATGGCCAGAATATAGTTGATTTTCATTTGACCAATCTTTGAATCCAGTAAAGAGGTAACGACAGTTATAGAAGTTAAAGGTTCTATATTAAATATTATCTTTTTTTAATTTGGCTTCAATTTGCCAGAGTACATCCACAACTCCTTAAGATACTGTATTGCTTTGAACTTAACGGTTTTAAGGAGCCAACATTTACTGAGTATATTACGTACCCCTTAGTTCTCAAGTCATTTTGGCACTGAAGCCTGTACTGCCCTGGAAGGTCACTGCTTTTTCTCCTCACTGTAGTGTTGAGATCAGTGTGTTCAGAATTAACAGAAGATCATACATTACTGTGTGCAGTGGGCTTGATTCACTGAGCCTTCTAAGAGCCTTTATCTTTTAAATCTGGCTTAGGAAGCTGCTCTAGAGGTCCCACAACCCATGTGCCTAACTACATTTATTCTGTTACTTGAATAACTTGGCCAAACTGCTTCAATTTATTTGATTTTGCCAATTGATGTTAAGGACACAAATACTTTTTGACCATTTTCTTAGCGTACAAAATGGGCATATAATGACTCGATTAGAAACCACAGTCCTAAGTATGTTTTAGGATGATAATTTAGGCATTGGAATTTGCAGATTAACATTAAATTTTTGCATTTAACTGCTAAGGTAATAACCTTGAGTCTCAGCAAAAAGCTGTGAATTAAAACTTGGTTATTGTTGTCCTTGGGTTTCTTGGTCTTACACCCCAGTAACTGACTTGTCCTCAGGAGTAAAACAATAACTTAATAGAATTTATAAGGAAAAACAACCAAGATTATGATTCTGAAGAAGACAAGGAAGGAAAAATGTTCAAGTAAAAGGCGCCTGTTGAAAAAGCAAGTGAATGAAATAGGGAACCGTATGAATCCAGAATTATTCTGCATACAAGAGCTGGGGTACAGACCAGAGGGGTGGGGGGGGTAGGGTGAGAAGATTCACCAGAGCGTGGGGAGCAGAACAGGCAGATCGACTGAAACATAGAGCTGAGGGGAGCAGCAGGTAAGACAGGAGAGGTCTGCTGTACCATGTGGGTCAGCTCACTCCCCAGGAATTGTGCTGCAGTGGCTGTGGACAGCTTCATTGTCCTTCGCTTTAATCCCTTGTGCCACCAGGGAGGCCCTTCAAAGGCCCTATTCTTGCAGGCAGCCTCCTTGCTCTGTCTCCACAGGATCTTGACATGCTCAGCTCTGTAAGGGCCACAGCCAGCCTGGATTAGGGCCCACCCAAGTAACCTCACCTAATGTTAAATACCCCTGTAATGCCTCATCTCCAAATACAGTCCACATTATGAGATGCTTTGGTGGGGGGGCATCAGAACCTCAACATGAGATCTGGGCGACACCCTTTAGCCAATAAGTCTTTGCTGAATGTAAGAAAAACTTGGTCATTCTCAGAGACTGCTAATCTTTATTGTGGCCCATGTCTTCCCAGCCCTATTCTTTGGCATTTCTTCTAATTAACCACAGCCATTTACTGAATTGTGAAGCTTCCAGTTAAGATGGAAGAAACAGCATGCCAGGAAAGCTGTCCTTCAAATTTTGGGAGTCCTGAAGTAACTCCTCAAAGTGTGTCTCTGGTCCTGCGGTTTTGGGCTATTTTGGGCTTTCGGGAGTGCCATGAAAATTTCAAAGTTTTATACATTACTGATTAGTTGCCACTATCAGTATTAGAATTCGTTTAATCGTTGATGTATTGTCAATCTAGCAGGGGGAAATGATTTCTCAATGTAGTTTATGAGTTAAGTCAGGCATCTTTACCTGAAGACCAACTAAATTTCTTTGCTATAAACTTGACTGCTCTCACCCACTGCCGATCTTAGGGTCTTGTGTCAGAATAAAAATTTAAGCTGCTGAGGGCCCTCCCTGGTGGCGTAACAGGTTAGGACACAGCACTGCAAACTGGCTGCAGCCATGTGAGTTGGATCCCCCGCGCAGAAGTGACACATGGCGCTGCAGACCTCTCCTGACCTGCCCGCTGCTCCCCTCAGCAGTGTACGTTGCCGATCTGCCTGTTCTGCTCCCCACTCTGTCTCTGGTGAAACCTCTCAACGGCCCTTGTACCTTTGGTTTGTACCCCAGTTCTGCATGAATAAATAGATCTTTTATAAAAAAAAAAAAAAATAGCTGTTGCATAGTCTAACACACCTCCTATTCTGGCCCTTGAGTCTAGTCTAGGAGTGAACATTACAGTAGTTCCAAACCTGGCTTTCAAAGGTGCTAGTGACTGGCCTTGATTTCTGAGAGCCCAAAGTCCCCATGTAAGAATGTGCATTGCTCAGCCAGAGAAGCCAGAAGGCAAGGTCTGCGGACAGCCTTCCAAGTGCACGAACTGAGGCTTTGGGGCAGAACTGTCCATTTGAGCCCTGTCCAAATTCTTGACCTACAAACTCATTAAGTGCCACAAAATAGCTGTTGTTTTAAGCTACTAAGTTCTGAAATATTTCTTACACAGCAATTACCAACCAGAAGAGCTTTTTTTCCTGAGTTCTTTTCACATCTCCCAGGTATGTTAGGAAAACTAGCAATTTGTCTGATGTGGTGCAGCCATATTTTTCCTGGATCTCTTGACTTTGCCTATTATGGTGGCTCTGTAGTCCATGCAGAATTTATGCATTTGAACTTATCACTCTTTCATTTAAACACAAGCTAAATTGTGGTAAAGACAAATTGTAAGAACAAGAGAGATGAAATATTTATGATGAAACTAGATAGAATACTAAGAACTCACATACTCGAACATTTGAAAGACATTGTGTGCTTAGGTTTAAACAACTTAATTCTAAATTGTTTTATAGTTGGATATAATCATAGTAAAGATTTTAAAACAATTGCATATGCTAATTCTAAAATTTGTAAGAAAAATAAACGAGGGTCCCTCTCTGGTGGCGCAACAGGTTAAAACACAACACTATGAAGCCTCCACAGCCACTGCAGCATGAGTTCAATCCCCAACCAGGGAGCTGACCCATGTGGTGCAGCAGACCTCTCCTGACCTGCCTGCTGCTCCCCTCAGCATTGTATTTCAGTAGATCTGCCTGTTCTGCTCCCCACTCTGTCTGGTGAAATCTCTCACTGCCTGCACCTCTAGCCTGTATCCCAGTTCTTGTATGTATAAATAAATAAATCTTTTTTAAAAAAAGAAGAGAATAGGCAGAAAAATTTTGCTCTCATCTAGTCCTATCAAATAAGAAAACAAAATACAATATTTACAATGGTGATATATGGCCATAAAAAGAAAAAATCAATTGTACAAAATAGAAACTATACATTCACATACGCTTGGCATATTATGTGGCATTTCAGATTGAATTGGGAACTATGAATTACTTTTTTGTAATGGTTATGAAGACAATAGTCATCTAGAAATCATAAAGCTGTATCTGTTCTAGGATATATTAGGATAAATTCTAGAGGAATATATGATTTAAAGGTAAAAGGGCAGGGCCTCCCTTGGGGTACAAGGATTAAAGTCTCAGCGTTATGAGCCATTAACAGCCACTATGGCTTGAGTTCAAGTCCACACCAGGGAGCTGACCCACATGGTGCAGGAAACCTCTCCTGTCTGGTCTGCAGTGTATTCCAGTCAGTCGGCCTGTTCGGCCTGTTCTGGTCCCCACTCTGTCTCTGGTGAGTCTTGTGGCTGCCCCTGCACCTCTGGCCTGTACCCCAGTTCTGTATGCATAAATACATCTTTAAAAAATAATTGTTATTCCATGTGCTTTATAGCTCTTCAGAGGTTAAAAGTCACTTTTATATCCTTTGATCTCTCCACCTTTATGAGATCAGCATTAATATCATCATTAAACAGAAGAGCAAAGGCCAGCAAATTATGATTCTACCACTTGCCTCAAGTCCTCTTTACCCCTTCAACTCACGAGTTTCAGTTTTCTCACCTATAAAACGGATTCATTCCAATGGAATGAAACTTCTTCCAGACATATGCCCGCCTATGACATAACCTAACAAACTCCAACTCCTCCCATTCCAGCGGCTGTAACCCAGGACACGGAGCTAAGTTTGAACAGAGTGTCTCAAGTGCACGTACACATACTATTTAACTGAACCTCAACCCCACAAACAGTTGAAGGGTTACCTTTTTGGTAACAACTAAGCTAGAGAGGCTGAGTGATTTGCCCCTGGTATCACACTACAGCCAGGCTGAACTTGAGCTCAGCAACTGGCTCTCAGCACTAAGTGGCCCTGCTCGGTTGCCACCTTCAACAGCTCCCTGCCACGCGTCGGTGCAGGCACAGGACCCAGCTTTTGAACTGAGACTGCCCGTGGCTGAGGGTTAGAAAAAGGAGAAACCCCAGCTATCTCAGAGGTGCACGACCTGACGACCAGATTCTTAAAGCCGACTCAGATTCCACCGCTTACCCGCGCGGTCACCGTACAGAAGCCCCTCTGCGCTTTCCTCCAATTCTCTCCTCCAGGTGGCGCTGTAGGACCGACTCACGGTCCAACAGGAGTCTGGTTTGCCGCCCCCGGAAGTTAGAGAGCACAGAGTATCGTGGCTAGAGAGTCATTTCCCAAGAGCCCCTCCTCCAGGACCTCGCGCTAGCAAGGTACTTCCGCTTCCGGCTCATTGTTCCGGAAGTTGCTCCTGACTAGCGTGCGGCTCCGTGTGGTCTTTGTGAGCTTCCACCATGGCGTACCGCGGCCAGGGTCAGAAAGTGCAGAAGGTGATGGTGCAGCCTATCGTATCCTACGCGGGATGTCTAGGACTAGGAGGTTTGAGACGGAAACGCGGGAAGGAGGGAGCAGAGAACGGGCCAGAGGAGCGGAATGCGGACCACATCCCATGAGCCACCGGGGCGAGCGGTCCCGGGAGAAAGCGCGGGTAGTTGAAGAACCGGTGATGGGAGGGAGGTGGGCACGGTTGGACCCCGCGATGGGCAGTGCAGAATGGCGGGGGTGAATGGAGGGAAGACTTTCTTAGTGAGATAATGAAAGAAGGCGGGAGTTCTCGGTCTCAGGGCTGGAATTTGGGGGTTTCTTCAAAGTCTGTTGGACCCCGTAGTTCCTCGTTGGGCAGTTTTCATTACGTGGGCACGGACCTCGCTTGAGGAAACACTGAGGTTGGGGGTGAGGGGGTAGGCTTGACCAGTTTCAGAGAGCAGAGTACGCTGCGTGTGTATTTTTTTCCTTAATCACCAATGCAGAACCTCATCTTCAGATACTTGCAAAATGTACGTAAGTTATTTGTGGCTTGTTGTTTGTAATTACTTAAGTAAACGACAAATTTACCGTCCTAGAGTTCAAAATACATGTCCTAGAGTTCAAAATACATGAAACGCAAGGGCAAGAGGTAGAGGGAAGGCTCTAATTTGATAAAATGGTGTCTAGCAGTGCCAGCTCCAAGCTTGCAAAGAATTGTGCCATGGTTAATTTGCTGACCAAAATTAAAGAAGTCATTGGCACACATGACAGTGTTAATAGGGCATTGTCTTTATGGCCACAATGTTGGAGACGTCCCCCATTTAGCCCCACGGGGATGAAACATTGGGAGGAAAATCAAATCAGCTTAACCCTTGGGTTAAGGTGGAGTATTTAATACTCACAGGGAAACAAAAATTGAAAAGACACTAGAAGTAAAAGAGGGGAAGGGTTAATTCAGAGAATTTAGTGACAGTCGGCTTTACTGTCACTAGGGTGACAGTAAAGGGTGTTTATAGCAGATTTTGAGTTGTCAGGGCAGTATGTTTAAGTGATCTCTGAAAGAAGACAGTTAATTTCTGGTGCACTGACAAATTTTACTGTGTGACAACAGAATTAGAAAACAGATTAACTTGAAGATTTGTCATTTTTAATCACCAGAATGGAGGTTCCCTCTTTTGGTTGGTAGATGCCAAACATGAAAAACTAAGAATTCTTTTGTAGCTGGATTTTCACAGACAAGAAAAGTTTTTGATGGTAATAATTAATTTTTTGTGCTATACTATCACCATTTTTAACCCTGAAAGTGTCGCGAGTAAAAGTATGCCTGAGATCCAAGATGCAGGAAAATTATTAACTTTGAGCATCTTAGTGTAGAATTTTAATAAATAAAAACATTGACAGGTAACTAATCTTGGTTACTAATTCTTGGATATGAGTCAGATTAGGGTTAAAACTCTTGGTTTTCACATATTAAAGTTCTTTAAGTACTGTATTTCTCTACAGTTTGACCACTTTTTGTTTACTTCTTAATTTCCGTTTTTATGACTATTTCAGCGATCTCGGATTCAGGTGTGGCTTTATGAACAAGTGAATATGCGGATAGAGGGCTGTATCATTGTGAGTACCTAGCATATTTTATTCAGCAGTTTGTTCACTGAGAAAGATTTCATAAAATGGCCAGCTAGAGCAATGTACAAAAAGGCAAAACCCAACCCAAGAAGATCTTTTCAAGGCCCACTATCTTTATTTCATTGTCCTACTTATAGGAACTAGGCAGTATTAAAAAAGGGACATATTAGCTTTTAAAAAGCAGTTAAAAAATAGTGTTATTTGAAATAGTGGGCAAAAGAAATAAGGTAGGAGAAGGGTGAGGATTAATGGAAAATTAGTCCTGAATTAAGCAATATCTGAATAGAGCTCGGTGAGGTTAGCCTTATTTAACCTTTGGCACATTGAGTACCCTAAATAGTGTTGTCGTTGTTGTTTTTTAAATAGTATTTTAAAGAAAGATAAAATATGTATGAAAGTATTATGTTAGAACACTACGTTCCAATGAGAACTCAGTTTCCATTAATAATTTCCTCCTTCCTATTTAGCAGTTAAAAGTGTGGCAGTTAGGAGGAGTGATAGTGTTTTGTGGGAGACATGAGAGGTGTGGGAGTTGTAACAGTTAATTCATACACACACACACACATTTTATTTTGAGCAAGTTATTAAAAGATAAAGCGAATGATTCTTTGGCATGGGCCATTGAAAACTCTTTAACGTCCAAAATCTTCCACAAGGAAGAAACTTTGTTATTTTAAAAAGAGACCTAAAAACTGTGGTTCAACTGAAAGATTAGTGAAGTTAGTTGGCATTTCTGAATCCAGATAAGTATATTCATTTAAAATGGCTTGGATGTGATCTTCTTTGAGGATGACAGTTGGTTTATTTTTCTAGGGTTTTGATGAGTATATGAACCTCGTATTAGATGATGCAGAAGAGATTCATTCTAAAACAAAGTCAAGAAAACAACTGGGTAAGAATATCAGTGGTCTTACTGTGTTGTGGACATTTTCATTCACTTGCAGAATTGACTGACTTGCAGTACAGGCCATGATTAAAATGAGCTTGTCCCCTTCCCTTTCTACAACTGGCTCCATTCACATAGCACACTCTAAGCTCACTAAAGACTGTTAGTGGTGTCCTTTTACTTGTAGGTCAGGAAAATATTTAATGCGTTCACAGTTCCTTTATTACAAGTTCTCATCTCCGTCTGCTAGTTTTGTGACATACTGCTTCATTTTCTGAGCTTTTTCATTGCCACTTTTGTCTTCTTTCAGTCTTTTGAATCTGCCCCACCATAAGTCTTTGTATATGCTGTTTCCTGTGTCTTCAGGACTCAGATCAAGTGTTAGTCCTTCCTGAGTTTGGTTAGGTTTTGCTTGGGGTGGGGATAGGGAGGGCATTGTGTGCTGTGCTCCAGGTTTGTAGCAAAACAGTAGTGGTGTGATTTCATTAATGTGTGTCCGCTAGACTGGAGGCTTCGTGAATGCTTGCATCCTGTCTCTTGCTCTCTGATATGCTCACGCTCGACTCTAAATTCACTGCCAGGCACTTAGCTGAAACTCAAAAATATTTCAGCTGTGGATGTGATTTCTTTTTAACCCAGTTGATAAAGCGTCTTTAGAAATACAGAGCGTCATCAAGACAAAGTTTCTGTTACTGTCCAGTTAACTTGAGGTTTGCTGAGTGTACACATTGACTGCTCTAGTTCAGGGCTCACTGGTAATTTCATGAATGGCTTCATTTGTCTCCTTTTTTCCTGACTCTGAGGATTTGGGAGTCTTGGTAGATAAGTGAAAGTAGACTTTTGGAAAATGATAGCTTTTTTCTGCTAGACCATTTTATTTTATTTTTAATTTATTTATGCATACCGAACTGGGGTACAGGTCAAAGTTGCAGGGGTGGTGAGAGGACTCACCAGAGACAGAGTGGGGAGCAGAATGGGCAGATGCACTGAAATACACTGCTGCGGGGAGCAGCAAGCCAGACTGTATCTAGCTTCACAGTGCTGCACTTTAACCCATTGTGCCACCACGGCCCTGCTTAGGCCATTTTAGATGAAAATCGGGATTTTTCAAATTTAAACATTTGCCACGAGGGCAAGGTAGCCTTATATTGTAGTATTTGTAAGTTATTTGCAAAGTGTTGAATTTCCATGGAAATGTCCACCTATAGAATAGGCTTAACTTACCTCTTGTAGAAGCCTTGTAAATTTAACCACATTTGAGGTTGACTAACATTTCTCACAGAGTTTTTTTCTGACCATAAGTGCTCTGAAAATTACAGATATTTCTCAGGGGGAAAAGTGTTCTCTGTTCAACTAAGTTTAGGAAATGTTAGATAAAACTTACACAGCTTTGTTTATTTCTGGGTGCTACCTATAGGTTTGTTATCTCAGGACAAAGTTTTCAATAAGAACTCTAAAAGTTGGGTTTACTATGCTGCAGTCACTAAATTTGACATAACTTTTTTTTTTTTTTAACATTATTTTTCATCTCAGCTGCAATCTCCACAGACTTCCCACCTCCACTTCACCCCTATGCCATCACCATAGTCCCATGTACTCTTCACACCCCAGTTTTGATCTTGTTCCCCTCTCCTCCCCGGTAGAATGTCTCTGGTTTATAGTTGTTAGTTGATGTTCTTTCTTACTTTGTTATAATTACTATATATATATTTTTTTTCTTTCCCTGATCCTTTACACTCTTGCTATGAGTGAAACCACCTGGTATTTTTTTTTTCCTCCTGGCTTATTTCGCTAAGGATAGTCTTTTCCAGCGTCATCCATGTTGCCACAGTGGCATGAGTTTATCTTTTTTGATTGCTGAATAATATTCCATTGTGTAGACATACAACTAACTCATTTTCAATCTTAAGCTCACAGTGTTGGGAAATTTGGGGGTAGACTGTTCAGTTGACTTAGGATCTGGAAATTGTACTTTTCATACAATGTCTTCATTAGATTGTTGAAATTGTGCGAGTGCTCTGATATGCACATCTTTCAGAATGTGGATACGAGAAAATATTCACAGGTTTCACAAGAGAAGTCATTTTCAATATGTTGCTTGAGAACAATCCAAAATACTGAGGCTAAAAAGTGGTTGCACAGTTGTCTGGGTGGCTATTAATAACTTTTGAAATTATTATTTTGTATTGCAGGTCGGATTATGCTGAAAGGCGATAACATTACTCTGCTCCAAAGTGTCTCCAACTAGAAATGATCAATCAAGTGAGGAATTGTTGGGAAGACAATACAGTTTGCTTTTTTACATGTTCTTTGTTGGGAGGATAGTTCTGAAGCATTTGTTCATGTTTTGAGTACCCTTATGTTAATCCTATAATGGCAATAAATTCTGTGGAATTGTTTTTATTTACAAATGGACATTGTTTCTTTCTACCCAGTGGTAACGACCATTTATAGTTTCTGAAGGTTAGGAATAGTTGTTGGTAGCTGCTTTCTAGGAGGTTCACCTATAGATTCTTAAGGCAGAGCGTAAGAATTCCACCTGACAGGGAAGTGGCTGAGAATGGGCGGTTCCCGAAAATAGACAAAGGTTATTGCGCTCATGTAGGTCTTTGTCATCCTGGATGCTGGAAGACGAGAGTTTCTAACCATTTTTGAATAACCTCAGTATTTGCTCAGCACTCATAGAGTCAGTGCGGGAGGTCCTGGAGAGTCTTTTACCACTAAGATGAGCATGTGAGAGAAATACTTTCATACCAGCAAAAAATGAAGACTCTTGAAGCTACCTTATAGTTAATGGGAGGAAGACTGGGGCGGGGGGCGGGGGGCCTGCACCTGCCCTTACTCACAACTGCGCAGTTGTCAGGGAGTGTAAGTGTTTACTTGGGGGACTTCTGTCTCATTCTTCCCTTTTCTTTCTTTCTTTACATTTTAAAAGGACAGGTTTATTAGGAAAAGGAGAAAGAAAAAGAGGCACCTGCAGAGTCACAGGCAGGCAGGGGAGCTGCCACTGCTGCTTTGCCAAAGGAAAAGGTTGGTGAGAAATAGCTGCATAGTCACAGGTGGGCAGGAGAGCTGCTGCCCGGCTCTGTAATTTGGGTCCTCTCCCAGTAGCTGCATATTTCTTCAGTGGCCAAATCTCCCCGCTCCCAGTATTCAGGTTAGTTCCAGTTAGAATTCTGTTAAATGACAGTTGAGCGCCTGCCGTTAGGTGCGTCGTTGAATTTACGGAAACGGACCAATCACAGCAGTACGTCATGCTAAGTGCTGTTTAAATGGATCGTGGAAGATGGGCATGGTTGACCTTCAGTTCCTCTGATAGGCGGCGTTACTGAGGATGTGTGAGGACGGACAGAGGGCCACTTTCTGCTTTTCAAGTGCCTGTGATGAAGAAAGAGAACTTTTTGTTCAAGCTGAGTAAAAGAAACCCTTCCCTGCTAGTGGAGGTTTGTAGGTGAGTGTAGTAACCAGTTCGGCTTCAAACGTGGGCTCCAGCTGTTCCTCTGCTATTTGAACTTTTCCCTTCATGGTCACATTTGGAAATAAAGGGTCACTTGAACTCCTTCAGCATATTTGAGTTTGAAATTTCGCTGAACCTGTTACAGCGTGTAAAGAAAATACTGGGCAGCAGAGGGAGTTGCAGCCTGGAGGCTGCTAGACTCTTTCTGCTGGGACGGTTTTGAAGCTTTTTCCGAGCAGAGCAAAGACCTCCCTGCAGCTTTCTTGGCACCAAAATAGCTGGGAAGAAGGATAAAAGCTGGGGCAGTATAATCCCTAAGAAAACCTGCTGGCTGCTTTTCCATTTCCCTGTGCTGCCTTCTGACCTGGCTGCACTATGTAAGCAGAGCTGTGCCTGCTGTGGCTCGTTCTGAATGGACCAAGACGGGAGAGTTTCTATTCTGACAGCAAACGATGACAGTGAGAAATAGGGTAGAGTGAACTCTTAAGAGTCGAGCTGTATTTAGAAATGGCCATTTACTTTCCTGCACTATGGAGCCTGTGCTGTTTGCTTTCTTGGTTGTATTTTTCCACCATCTGTCAGTTCTTCCGAACAGAATTTCTATTACAGGAGGCGTTGCTCTCTGCTTCATTAAGGTTATTAAAACATGCTGCTGGGAAGCTGCTCTTGTTGGCAGCCCGTGGAATGTGAGCAATTATTTCTCTGGAATGGCTGTTGGTTTCCGAGGGGGGTCTTGCTAGCCACCCACTAACTCTCATAACATTCTTGAAGAGAGAGGGGTTGGAGGAGAATCAGCCCCTAAAAGAAAAGGAAGTGTGATGCGGGCCTGGTATTCTTTTACTAGTAAGGAGAAAGAGGAAAAGAAAAGTTGGAAAACCCGAGGGTTTTGTGTTTGTAGACACCAGCTCTTGGGTCGTTTCGGCCACGGCTTCCAGCTGGAGAATGGGTCTCTGATTTGGCTTATGGTGTTACTGCCAGGAAGTGTCATGGGTAGTTCCTGGGGGATGCTCAGCTGGCAGCATCTCATGTTAACAGGATAATAGAGCTTTTCCTTCATTACTTCTCTTAGAACCATGATCGTGATGTGCTTTGTGAGGTGTTGGTAAAACTTTTCTTAAGGCAGCATGAGAACTTGATTAGTATCTAGAATGTAAAAATTATATCCCACAGAATTTTAAAGGTTTGAATAAAAAATAATACATGTTGATAATCAGCATGCAAACAGCTAACAGAGAAAAAGTAGAAAGCAAAAGTCATGTAATATGCAAATAGTTACAACGTTAAAAAGTAGGAAAAAACCTCCCTTTCCACTACCAATTTTCTTCGCATAACTGCAAATAAGAATTAAGTGCTTATCCTTTTAAACTTTACAAATATGTATAGTTTGGTTTGTTTTTCATTGGGCCTTTTCTCTTTCTTATTCATTTTATTTATACATACAAGAGCTGGGGGTGTAGGCCAGAGGTGCAGGGGGTGAGAGGATTCACCAGAGAGAGAGTGGGGAGCAGAATAGACAGATGTACTGAAATGCACTGCTGAGCGCAGGACAGGAGAGATCTGCTGTACCATGTGGGTCAGCTCCCTAACCTAGGATCGAACTCATGCTGCAGTGCCTGCAGTTGCTTCATAGTGCTGAAACTTAACCCCTTGTATCACCAGGGAGGCCCCTAGTTTTTGTTTTTTTTGGTTCTTTAAAAACTAATTTTAAATTTTTAATTATGGTAAAATCACATAATAACCAGTTTAAGTGTACAGCTCAATAGTGTTAAGTGTATTTATGTTGTTGTGCAACTTCCTCACAAAACTGAAACTACCTATTGGATAATTTTCTCTTTTGCTCCACCTTATCTCTGGCAGCTACCATTCTACTTTACTTCCATGATTTGGACAACTCTAGATACTCAGACAAATCCTCATATATATCTTTGTGACTGGCTAACTTCATTTAACATAATGTCATCAGGGTTCAAACCATATCCTTTTTGACGACTGAATAATAACTCTTGTATATATGTACCACATTTTCTGTATACATTCAACAGTGGATGGACAGTTGTGGCTGTTGTGGCTAGTGATGCAATAAAATCCAAGATTCTTGCTTGTAGTTCTTTTTACTATACATCCAGAAAGTTTCTTTGAAATTTCACAGCAGCTACACTATTTTGAATTCTCACCAATAGTGCAAAAAGTTTTTAACTTCTCCACATCGACAAGGCTTATTTTCTGGTTTTTTGCCAACACCCATCCTAATGGGTGTCAGTTGTTAAGCAGGTTGATTGCTGAGTTGTAGTTTTTACATGCTGTAGAATTTAATTTGCAGGAATTTTCTCCCATTTGGTGGGTTATCTTTTTCACTCTACTGATTTTGGTTTTTGATGCGCTGAAATTTTAAGTTTAATTTTTGACATAAGTCAGTTTATTGCTTTACCTCTTTGTTGCTTTACCTCTAGTGTTGAAGGTATTTTTGCTTTCTTATTTTTTATTTATGCATACAAGAACTGTGGTGTAGGACAGAGGTGTGGGGGAGGGAGTGGTAAAGGTTGAGAGGATTCACCAGAGACGGAGTAAGGAGCAGAATGGGCAGATGGACTGAAGTACACTGCCGAGGGGAGCAGAAGGTAAGACGAGAGGTCTGCTGCACCCTGTGTGTTAGCTCCCTGGCCAGGGATTGAACTCTTGGTGCAGTGGCTGGCTAGGTAGCTTGACAACACTGAGACTTCAACCCCTGCGCAACCAGGGAGGGCCTCATTGACCCCACTTTTCACTTATTTCTGCGCACTCTTCAGCTTGACTCATAGCAGCAAAAGCTAGACACGTGAAATAGCTGTGACTTCATTATATTAATCTCTCAATTTAAGAAAGCATTCTCCTGTTGATGGGAATTTTAGACTATTATCAACTTTTTTGCTGTTAACAAAAAGTTGTATAATGCACATTTTTTAAACCTACTTTTACCCACTACATATTTCTCTGAGGATATGTGTATTTTAAAAAATTCTGCGGGTGAGGTGGGGGGGAAAATTCTGTAGGTTCTTCCAAACGCCTTCCAAAGTACATGGAGGGAAAATGTTTTCCTCACATCAGCCAATCATCAGGCAGCTTTTAAAATAAGTTTTACTTACTTGAAGCGAGTATGAAATAATCCCTGCCAACATCCTATGGATACTAAAGTGGAAAAATGGAAAAAACTTGGTCTTTAGTGGCTGACTTTTAAGCCACTAAATTAATCAACTCAGGAACTTCCCTGCCACCAAACTTGTTATGTGAGAGAATAAATTTCCGGGTTGGGTTTGTTACAACAAAAGCATTGTCGCTGAGAACACTGTCACCACAGGGCTGCCTGTCTGCAGTACCACTTTAAGCTTGGAAATGGATCAGTGGAAAATTGTTAAATGTCATAGTTGAGAAAGTTGGCAACTGAAGTGATAACTTTGGACTATATAGTAGAATAAAAGTAAGTAGTTGTGACCGATTTTATTCAATAAAAGTACATTTTATTTCCTTCCCTTGTTAAGAAAATAATTCCTGAGAAAGATGATCTTGAATCATCTTTCCATGTCCATAGAAACTGCTGTCTCTGGAGTATTAGTAGATTAACCTTGTCCCCAGAGCCACTCTGCATTAGAGATGTTTTGCTGGGCTGGGAAATTGCAGAGGGAAACGGGAGAGTAAACAAACGAATGCTCTTCCTGATGTACTGCCATGTTAAAAGAGAGGTTTGGACAGTAAGGGAGTATTTACCCAGAAAAATAGTCACTTTAAGATTCTACGCCTTCAGATAATCAGTTTGAGGCCCTCCCTAGTGGCGCAGTAGGTTAGGAGGCAGCTCTGCAAGCTGGCTGCAGCCGCTTCAGGGAGGTCAAACTGGTTAGTAGTTTAGTTCTCTGTCATTAATAACCTGATTTACTTATTCTCTCACTTGCTGAATAGAGTGGGTTAATAGGAGAT